TCCCTCTCCCTCTCCCTCTCCCTCTCCCTCTCCCTCTCCCTCTCCCTCTCCCTCTCCCTCTCCCTCTCCCTCTCCCTCTCCCTCTCCCTCTCCCTCTCCCTCTCCCTCTCCCTCTCCCTCTCCCTCTCCCTCTCCCTCTCCCCTTCCCTCTCCCATCCGGCCGTGTTCTGTTGTCCACAAACCCCCCCACACCCGCGCCTCTCTCCAACCCTTCCCCCAACCCTAAAACCCCTACCCCTCCTCGCAGCCGCTCGGCGTGTACTTCCCGGCCACCTACTTCGCCGTTGTCGGGTGCTATCCGTGGTGCACTTGGGGGGCGGCACGAGCTGCCTCATGCGGGTGGCGCTGACGGGTGAGTCGGGGGCTGGAGGGGGTGGGCGGGGGGATGAGGTGTGGAAAACACACATACGACCTGGTCGACCACGTCTCTGGAGGGAAGGAAGGGGTTTAGGGGAGAGAAAACATCCTTTTCCCAGGTGCGTATGTATGTACGTATGTATGTATGTGCGAAGGGTTGTGCGGGTTATTCCTTAGAGGGCTCTCGTGGTCACCCCGGACGGAAGGGGTGTAACCGGCCGGACCCCGCCTCTACGCTACTAGGGGGGCTTCCGCAGTTTCCTAAAAATGGTAATGTTTTCCAGAACCCTCTCGCCCCTCCCCTCCTCTTCCCTCGCCCCTCCCCTAGGTTCTGATGGCCGCCAAACCCCTCCCCTGCCTTCCCCGCCTCCCTTCCCTTCCCCTCCCTTGCTCAGCTCGTACGGGTGAGGAAGCCGTGTTCGTGTGGCGGCTGAGACGCGTGGGAGACGGCGGGGAGGCCCCCGGCCAGCCCTCTGGCGCCCCGGACCACGAGGGTAGAGCCCCGGCAGCAGCAGCAGCAGCAGCCCCGGACTCGAACTGGGTGTCGCCGCCGATGCCTCCAAGTAGCTCAGTGGCGGGGCAGGAAGGGGGGGAGGGGCGTCCGCGGTGTGGGGACCGCCTGGAAGAGCGCGGGGTAAGCAGTAGCAGCAGCAGCAGCCGTGGTGCCAGCAGTAGCAGAGGAAGTGCGCCGGGGGAACGACCCCCGCTGCCACAACCACCGCCAACGGCATTACCCACCTCGGCGATGACGTCAGGGGGACGCGGTCTGTACGGCAGTGTTCACGTCGCCGGCTCCGGAATCACAGCCTCGCCGCACCCTCAGACTCAGTCACCGGCTGCTGCTGCTGGTGGTGGTGGTGGCGATGTCGGGGGTAGGACCTGCTGGGTTGTGGAGTCCGTCTGTCGCGATGACTCCAAGGACGAGGAAGACCTGCTCGTACCTGCTCCCGTACCGTACGGCGGGGATGCAGCACCCGCCGCCGCCGGACACCAAACCTGGTGTCCCCCCCCTCGGCTCTCCCCGGAGTTGGTGGTGCTGGGGCAGCTGGCGGCGCTGAGGAAGGGGGACCTGGGGGCCGCGGCGTGCTTCAATGTGTGGAGCAGGAGCACCACCTCGGTGAGCTGGGGAATGGGAAATTCCGGGAAATGTGTTTTTTGTGTGTTTTTGTTTTTGTTTATGAAGAGGGAAAGGGAGGTGGGAGGTGGGGGAGGGCGCGGAAGGAGGTGGGAAAGTCACGGGTGGTGGAACGAGGTTCGGGTTGCCTTTCGTGCCGGTGGTCGGCAGGGGGCTAAGAAACGCGAACACATAGCGGCATTCGCCGCGCCCAGCCGTTAACTGCTCATGACATGTGCCGGAAAGCTGCATGCGGCCGCCGCTCTTTCCCCCTCCCCCCCCCCACACACACACACTCATACACCACCACAAACGCCCAACCAACAACAACGGCCACAGGGCGGTTGGGACCTCCATCTGAATGCCTTCAGCGCCATGTTACGACAACCGCCGTACCATGTGCTGATGACGTCAGATGGCGCGGAGCTGGGGCCGTCAGCGCTGCCGTTGGGGAGGCGAATGGCGCAGGAGGTGCGGGTGCTGACGTCACGAGGTGGTGGCACCAACGGTGGCGGTGGTTATGGCGGTTGGTCGTTTGTCTACCAGTTGTGCATGCAGGCCAATGGGTGTTGGCTGGTGGAGGGCATAAGGCCCGTAAGCTCATGACATCGAGGGGGGGGGAGAAAAGGGGGAGGAGGAAGAAGGTGATGTTGACCGTAATGGCTATGGAGGGACCTCTGCAGCAGCAGGAACCAGAGGGCCGAGCTACACGGGGCTTCTGTTGCAGCAGCCGTACAGGCCGTACAGGCCGTACGTGATGAGAGGTGGTGTGAGCGGCTGGGGTGTTTTGCGAAAAGGTCGGGCGGTGTAGACTAGAGGGGTATAGTGTGGGGTAGTAAAGGGTGTGTGTGTATGTGTGTGTAGGTGTGTGTGTATGTGTGTGTATGTGTGTATGTGTGTGTATGTGTGTGTATGTGTGTGTATGTGTGTGTATGTGTGTGTATGTGTGTGTATGTGTGTGTATGTGTGTGTGTATGTGTGTGTGTATGTGTGTGTATATGTGTGTGTATGTGTGTATGTGTGTGTATGTGTCCAGGTGCCGCCCTGCGGTGCTTGCTGGTGTGATGGGGCGTTCGGCGGCTGCATGCGTCGACAACTGCTGCAAGATGAGAGGGCTGTCCACGCCAAGGGAACGTGGGAGCCTCATGGGCCTTGTCCGCGGCAAGGAGTCGACAGCAGCATGTTGTGTAACTTAACGTGGAGAGCTTTGGGCTCGGGAGGTGGGGACGAGGGCGGGGTCAGTTATTGAGGTTGAGGGATCGGAGGTTAAGACTGCGGCCTAGCATTGCAGCCCGGTGGGTGCCATGCGTACGACGGGCTGGTGGCGTTTGTGGACTGGACATGCGCCTGAACTAGCATGGGCTGGCGAATCGAGGAGGCGCATCTATGGCTTTTACACTGGTCTCTGGTTTCTTGGGGGTATCGTGTACGTGTGGCGACAATTGTAGGAACTCGTACGGCATCGATGGACGATTATAACTGGTTCGTTAGTTTTAGGGTTCGGCATTTTGCGTCGATTGCACATTGCCGCCGGCAAAACAGGCGGCTTATTCATTTTTATTGGATTAGGTTTGGCAGGCGACTCAAACTGACGGACATTGACCAGATAGTCGACCCTGTGTAAGCAAACAGCGATGTCGTCACTTGGAATCCATGGCCAGAATAGCGTTGGAGGGTCAGCTTCGGCTTCTGGGACACGCCCTGCTGTTTTTCCGCGTCCAGTCCACACTCGCACAGCTCCGCCAAAGCCTGTGGGAGAGGCACTGCGTTGCACGCTACCTGTATCGCCTGTAAAGCATCAGACAAGTCGAGGTGCTTCAGTAATGGTCATGGCTTCCGCGAGCCAGCTCAGCCTAAAGCAAACCGAGGAGGTGCCAATTGCGGAGCTGCGAAGTCTCTGCACAAAGGCGCTCAAATTGTTTGGCTACAAGCAAGACGAAATTGAAATATTAAACGATGTAAGGCTAAAGAGCTTCTTGGTCGCAGTCGACCAACATCACGGAGTCATGTCGCCGCCGTTTGCCGTTACTTTGTCGCGACAGGTTCTCTTTTACGCCCAATTGCGTGACAACAATCAGGGTATCGTCAAAATTACTTCTGGTGGTCTCAATAAGTCACCTGAAGCACGTCCGCCTGTGATTGAAAAGGAAACGCGGCTGTCAGCCCTCATCAACGGCAACAACAGCGCCGGCATGCTGGTTTTGCACAAGGCCACACAGATGGCCATCGAGCGCGCCAAGACCCAGGGCTTTGGTATCGTGGGCACAAACCACACGCCCAGCAGCACCGGCGCCTTGGGGTGAGCGCCCGAGCCCTAGCCAGGAAGCTACCTGACTGCCGCCCCCTTTCCCATCCACGTACACGCCGCCTACCCACTCTCCCCTCCACCCTCTTCAGGTACTACGTGGACCTGATCTCTCGGGAGGGCCTTATCGGTATCGTATTGGCCCAGTCCCCCGAGTTCGTGGCGCCCCATGGGGCCAAACAACCCATATTTGGAACCAACCCCATCGGCATCTCTATACCCGCACAGGTGCGTGTCGGGGCCCGGGGGGTGAAGGGGTAAAAGGGGTGAAGGGGGGAGGGGGGAAAACGAACCACGAGGGAGTGAAGCTGCTGCCAAGGAAAGAGAAGCAGAACTGACCAGTAGGCGGGGGAGGGGTGAAAGGGGGAGGGGAGCTGGCGAAAAACCCAGATGGGGAAGACACGGGGCAGGCCCAAAGCGAGAGCACTGCAGGGAGAGCGATAGGGCTAAAGAGAGAGAGAGAGGCGCGACCTGACTGCCGCTAAGCTGCTTAGGACCCTTTCATTGGCGCCGTCCTGGCGGATGGTGGTGTGCTGCGGGGGGCGATGTCTGCTGGGT